TTTTGAAAAAGTGGCATTTTTGTAAAGATTTCAAAAGTGTAGCATTTTTGTAAAGTGGCACTTGAAAAGTGGCATTTTTTGAAATTTCTCAAAAAAAAATGTGTAGGCTATTATGATTAAAAATATTTGGTTTTTTTTTTCTGTATTTGTAATGCTAAAAACAATTATGAAAAGTATCCGTCTATATGCGCGGCTAATAATTTTTTTTTTCATTATACGTAAGTTTGTTCAACTATCATGATATTGAAAGAAAAGTTTATGTATTCTTATGAGCTATGAGTGAGCCGCTCTTGCATTCTGGGTAGGCTTTATTTTGCGTTCAAGCTTCAATTTTGTATATGATAATAGACAACTCAAGGAAAAGATAATTCCAATACGATTAAAATCCATTTATTTTAATTTCTCAATTTAGTTTGCATTTTGTTTGTGTTACAACTTTTTATATTTAGATTTTAGATTATCTATATGTGTGTTTGTTTTAAGTATTGATCGAATATATTAAACACATAGTTAGACAAGAGGTTTGATAATTAGTTTTCAGTCTTTTGAACAAGAGAAAGAGAAGACGAAAATGTTACGTGGGAGTCAAGTGATTGAATCACAAAAATACAAAAAGAAAAGTATCTTATATAATATTTTAAGGTTTCAACTAATTGAAGCTTTGAGAAGTTGTCATGTGTCATTTTTGATGTTAACAAATTTTTTTTTTTTAAGACCTCACTTTTACTTAATTTTGACATTTTACCCTCTAGATTTTAAGATTTTTGTATTGATTCTTTAAAATAAAAATGTGATATCAATATATTAATTTAAAATAAACATTTAACATCAAATTATCTTCATAAATTAATTTAAAATATGTAAAAACATATTTTAATAGATAGTTTTTTTCAATATCTCTTTTCAAATTCTAAGAGATCGATTAAAAAATAAAAAAAAATTTATGTCACATACGATCTTGATTTTTAGTTTTTATAGGGTGTTTTATGCAAATACCCACAAAGACATGAATACAAATAAAGTTGTATAAAAATCTGTCATGTTATTAAAACATTGTAAAATCTATATAAATTTAGATAATATAACAATCAAATTCAAAAGCAATTGAATTTCACTAATTTTTTTTACATGTATGTTTATCTATAAATTATTGCTTATTTCACTATATAAATTTTATCTTTTCGACGATATGTGGATTCAACATTCATTTTTTTACAATAGTGAACATTGAGTATAACAAAAAGATTCAAGATGAATACGCTGAATTTTAGAGCAAAAATGAAAATATAGTGTTCAAATAAAAATATTTGTATATATCATCATATGGTTCACTTTCATATTAAACATTTAAAAATGATGTTTTAATTTG